GAAGAACTAGTCTTATTGCCTCCTCTAGGGTTGGAACCTAATTAAGACCTAACCCACTTCATTGACCGGCCACACTCTTGGGTGCTCTCCTGCTTCAGGATTCACTTCATAGCCTTTAAAGGGCTCGATTAAAGTAGGAAAAAAATTAGCCCGTTTCTGTGATAAAACTTTAACTTGGAACTAAATTTAGATAAGCAATTCCTCCAATGTAGGATTACTATCCAAAGCTGAGGATAATTTCTTATAATTTCTGCACTTACTTGTCTCGAGGCCAAATTTAATCGAATATTATTTCAAAAGGCTGGACAAAATCAGGATATGTTGTTATTAATTCAGAATACTAGTAATTATGGGACATCAACTAACAACCCAATGAACAGTGTCCCTCACTATGGTGCTATCTTTCAGATATCCTCCTTTCATCCAAATCACCACACTATTTTATACTGACTATCCTAGTCAATATGTAGACACTATCGAATGTGGCTACACCAATTTAATCTACTCCAAGAACTACAGGCAGCCCAAGCTAAATCAACAACAAAATGAACTCCAAAATATGTTTCAAGAACAGGACTCAGTAAGTGATCTACAAAACCAAATTCTAGACCGGTGTTATATTTTCTTTCTATGCTCAACTTGTTCAACGTACCTTCATGGAGGGGTCCTTTTAAATAACCTTACCTTCTTCCTTGATATACAATAAGGTATTTATGATAGTATCATATAATCGGATGCCAACTGCAGGACCTAGGAAGGACCATTCAAGATCAAGACGTTGCCCAATGAAATTGTATAATCCAATCAATTGTTCTAATAAGTCCTTCTATAACCTGAAGTAGGAAAGCTCATAGAATGTTAAGTGCATATCCCCATAGTGTTTCTATATTAAGTCTCATTACTTAGAGCGAACATTGTCTTTCAAGTTACTAAATTCATCGCCTCATAAAGATTTGAATCACAGCCGAAACATAATAAGGACAATCTGTGGATTCCACAAGCAGCAAATTGTTCTTCTATTTGTCAAATTTTAAGGTAACCAATCACAAAACTCTCAGAATTAGTTTCTGTAATTCACCAAAACAGTAACAATGTATTTCAATAAGAAAAGCACAACATTGTCTGCACTCATCTTCAACAACTTTTCTGCCTTGTGCAATTGATGAAAAAGTCAAACAAATAATAGCAGATGATTCCGTTAGCCTTGCTACACCATAATCATATTATAATGCTTCAGTTTGCATCAAAAACTTTCCGAGCACCCCCTCAAGAGAACCAAAACAAGCCCATGTAAGTCCCAAAGCAGCCAGCTTTGAAGTGATTAAGTCATAAAAGCACAAATCAACCTACTCAATCCAACTCTTTTTCATCATTAACCACCTTCATGATAGAAAATTGATAGATTTTTCACAAATGAAGTTCGCATTCTAACAACAAGAGACCATTCCTTCATACTGTACCATTGGCATCCAATTCGTCAATAGTGTTGAAAACCAGAGTCTTACACTGACAAAATCGGACCAGCCTATATAAACGGAGAACTAGAATTCAATGTCATACGATGTTCCTTGTCATCTCTAAATTAACAAGTCCTTTCCAATTAAGTTAACACCCAACACAATAAAATTACACAAAAGACTTCATTTTTTCCCTCAAAGACCTCTAAACCCAGGAACCAAAAATGATAACAACCACACCAATACTCAAAAATCTTCTAATCAAACAAAACAAAAGCAATCCATCAAATCAATCAAAAACCCAATAAAATTTTCAAAAAAAGTAAAGAGAACAAACAAACAAACCTGGTGAATTGGTGGGTACATAGAATTTGTACAAACAGGGCATTCAAGCAATTCATGTACACTAGTAGGGACATTTCCGGCAGAAAGAATGTTATTAGGCTTTCCTAAAGGGTATTGATGAGATGCAATAGAAGATTGGATCTCTTCATCTTCAACACCATCCATTAATGATACACACTCAACGCTATCCATTTCCATTTCTTCCATTCAAAAATCTGAACCCCACACTTTCAAAGATTCAAACTTTCTCTCCAAATAACTTACAAATCCTTCAAAAAAAAAAACTTTCTTCTTAATCTGAGTTGAATTTGAAAGGAATTTGGAGAAAATTGAGAGAAGGGTTCGGATCAAGAATCAAAAAGAAACGAACCCCTTTTTTGCCAGACGAGGATCTTCCTTTTTCTTGTTTTTTTCTCTCTCTCTCTGCGCTACCAAGGTTGTCTGAGGAGAAGAGAGAGAAGTTTAAGGATCGCCGTCAAATTCCCAACATAACTGTACATGATCTTCATCGTACGGCCAATTATTTTTTCTAAATACAAAAGTACTAGTCGAACTACCTCTTGTGATGGATGTAATTATTAGCCAACCTATTTGATGTGATTTTTTTGTTTACATGACACGTGGAATTTCAAGGTAAAAAACATATAAATTTGACTTATTACAGTTTGTTAAGCCTCGTTTGTTTCCAAAGATTAAGAGACCTGAATTTGAATATACATTTGAATATTAAGAGTTGTATTAAGATTGTGGTGTTTTAATCTGAATTCATATTTGAATATTAAGAAATGACCTTTAAATCTGAATACTAAATAATTAATGTTGTTTGATTTCTATATCTAAATGTGGAAGTGAAACTGAATATTATATTAATAAATATTATAAAATTTTCATTTCAACAAAATATATCACTTTTGATTAAAAAAAAGTTTTAATAATCACAATTTGAAGTTCTATCTTTTCATTCAAAAACCTTGAAATAAACAACAATACACCAAAAATATTATTGCAATCAGTGTTCTTGACACACATCAATACAAGAAAATTATAAATATAAGAAAAATACTTTGAAATGATTTATGAATACTTATCAATTAGAAAAAAATGGTGGTTGATTGAGAAAAATAAAAAAAAATGTTTTTAGTTATGAGATAAAAAGGCATGTCAAAAGCAGAGAAACTTTGATTTATTATTTGATAATTTATCAAATGAGTCTGAATGTTGTTGAGAGTCTCCTACAGATCTGATTCCTTCAGACCTATTAAGAGTTTTTTATAAAAATAAAACAAATGAACTTAATGGACTGAATTTGAATGATCCAGATTCAGACCTAAAAGTGAAACGTACTTAATGGACTGAATCTGAATGATTAAGATTTAGATCTCCGTTAAATGCAAACAAATAAGGTCTTAGACTTACACTCTAAGCGTCCGACTGTACGTCTTAAGCACGTTCAATGTTTAATGCTCGAGGCTCGCCTTATAGATCTTACATAAATTATGTGTAGAAATTTTAGTTAACATTATTGACCCTCATAATTATTGAATAAATGAATAATACTTAATAACTTTTTAATCTAAAGAGATAAGAAGATCGAGAGTAGCTCAAATAACAAGTCGTAGTGTAGTATCTTCAATATTTGGTAACACTACAAAGGTGATGAATTTGTACGTAACATTTCTTTTAAAAACAGAAATTTTGCTTTTCCACTTATCATTGGTCTTCATAGTTTTGTCATGTCTCAAAATTATTATATTTTATTTAGTTATTTGAAAATAATTTTATTTTTTTATTCATGATAGAGTGATGTTTTTATTATAATCGTAGTAAATTTTATTGATTATTTGTTATAACCATGTTAGAAGTTTTATTTTCTATGAGTTTTCTTAATTATCTTTGAAATTATTTTCAATCTTTTGATTTTTTTATATTTAATTTTGTGTTATCATATTTTATACTATATTATATTAAAGCTCACATCTCGAGGCTTACACATCCTCCTAACTATACTAATGTCTTGTCTCAAGCCCCCACCTTTTAAAACAGTACTATTGTTGTGTTTTCAAATGAAATACGTATATACAAATGAAATGATATACAAATTAAAGTAATTAAATAAAATATTTTCTACACATTTAATTACACAAATTATTATAGCCTAGCGATTTAAAATTGCATTGAACGAGTCAATGATCACATTTTGTAAACTTACAAACAACTTTCAGGTGAGGACGTTGATGTCTTGATTTTAGTTAATTATAAACTCAGATTACTTGTTATTTTTTTGAAGTAATAATTTCATTGATAGCAAATATGTTAGAGCTTGATGCATTGATTATTGACCTTCTTTATTCGTTATACAAAACTTATAATGCTCATACACTTTCGAATATACCGTTAGCGAGCACTTCGCTAGCATACATCAATAAGCTTATTATCTTCTTTTTCTTTTAAAAAAAAATCAAATTCACCCCATTTTTATTGGAAATGATGCATATATTAGTTATCATCATCTAGCAAATTATATTACATGATGCATATAATATTTTTCGTACTAATTTATAACTAATTGCTTGGGTCAAAATAACATTGATCTCGTACGTGTCAACAAAGAGTAAAATGGTTGATGGTTAATTTACGTCCGTTAGATCATAAAGTATCTAATGTCTATATTTTCCATTTTTGTAAATCTCGACGTACTCCATCATAGTACTTAGACATTCATCCTAGTATTATAGTAAACAATGATCTTGTACTAAGAATTGGAAATACATTTTCTTGTTCCTTTACTTCTCTTTCATTTTTGCTAATATTTATAAAGGTTTATTGTGTGCAATTGAGCACCAAATGGTTCCATGGTCTAGTGGTCAGGACATTGGACTCTGAATCCAGTAACCCGAGTTCAAACCTCGGTGGAACCTACATATTCCATATTTTTAGTGAATTGGGGTTTTTACACGTGTGTTCAAAGCTTGTTACTTGTATTTTGATAATTATAATTATTGAAGTCATAGCGACAATGAATTTCATATACTATTAATATTTTTTAATAATTATATGGAATTTCTTATTAATTGGCTTACTAGGACTTCTTTTACGGCTTATCTTCATAGTTATTATTCGTCACCCTCTTCTTCTACATCATTAAAGCAATATATATGTACCATTGAAGCAACTTCAGACAATTTCCAACACACGAAATAATTTTGATTTTTCATTATCATTGATTATAAGAATTTGACTTTCGAAATTCAATCCTTTTATTTCTTCGTACATTCATTCATAATTGGCCCAATTGACAAAGTTAAATATCTATTTTAGACTACTCAGACAAAAGAAATTTCGTGATTTTAACATCCATTTCCAGCTTTACTATAGTAACTGGAATTTGCAATACTACCAAAAGACGTTCTATAACCTTGGTACATGTGCCTAAGTTTGTTACATGCATGAAACTGAGCTAGACGATGATCACGAATTCAGAAGACTATTCTATTAATACTGAAAGACAATGTTTTCAGACTGAGTAGGTGCAGGATTGATTACTGATAGAGCTTCTTCTTTCTTGTTCAATACCCAAAATGCTCTCAGATTTCCGTCAATCATGCTACGTGCTCCCCCTCCTGCTTTAAGCTCTACTGCGTTCATGGAAACAACACAAATGGGAATGTTTATCAAAAGGACTACTCCTGTGAAAAATGTCATAGAAATGTCTTTATAATTCAACATCTTTAAACTTCATATAAAATCTTTCGCAGTTAACAATAGCAGCAAGGCTCTTAACACTATAATGTATTAACAATGAATCTCTTTTATTTCCCAATTCCTGTCCAGCAAAAGGGAAGAGGACATTGCACGATCATAGAACATATATGGGATAATCAACGTCTTCTACAACCATTTTCTTTTTTCTTATAGGTATGACAGACTGCCTGCTGTTTCATCTGAGAAACCTTTAACCTTTGTTCATGTAATATCCTGATTACCCTTCTACATATGGGGAAGATAGATATATAACAGAACAGAACTTCAGAATACTTATACAGCTTCAAGACAAGAGGTACTCAATCACCTTCCAGTCACAATCCTACACCACTACATTCTCCCTTCAAGGCATGATAAACGTGCTTTCAGACTGAAACTTGAAAAAAGCACTTGGCAGATCCAGATTTCCATTTTGTACTTTCCAAGGGAACCATTCTTGCTCTATTTGCAGTATTGCACCATTGGACAGGTTAAATATTCGGTTGGTAGATCAGAAATTTTATTTCTACTACTTGCAAGAGATTCTCCCCAAATTGCACAGAACTCTTGCCTATGATAGTCATCCTCTCTAATATTGCTACTTGAGAACTCTAAATATGAAAACTAACTATATTCCAAAGCTTAATAGATATTAGAAGCCCTCTTTTATTTGTTATCTAATATTCCCAACAAATTTAGAACAGAGCCTACAGCCTTTTCTTGAATAGCTTCAATATAAACATGTGTTTGAAAGTGCTATGGAACTCTACAAACACTTCAGTACCTGAGGCTTCAGATGATATGAAGACAACATTAAGTCGTAGATATTACCTGCTCAATATAAGACACTGAAAGAAAAGCGAACAGCAGAAACTGATCTCAGCAAAGACTACTTCGAAAGTATCTTTACTTCGTCCTGCCAAAAACCATTTCTGCACATTTCCCATGAAACCATTAACCATCCAAGTCAAACCATCAGGATTTTAGAATTCCAATTTCTAGCTCTTTAGATCGATTAATGAAAAGCACCATTACTCACATAACATGGAAGGTACAACTGCGTAGTTTCCAGGTAAACAAACAACTCTCATGTTGTCTCCATGCAGAATCCTCAGCTAAGCATAATAGTAGTAAATGTTTGCATTTATCAAAAGTTGCTTCCAATCAAAAAAAGCTGAATCTTTCACGGACAATATTAATGATAATCAAGTCAAGAATGTCCATGCCTTTAGTAGAACCGACTCAGAGATAACTGAAATTCATTGTCTACTTACTATCAGCAGCACAAACTGCTCAGAATTAACCAATGACCAGCATATTGCAAGCCGAGAAAGCAACTGTTTCATTACCTGTGTAGCATAAGTTGAGCTTTGTGCCAGAAACATCATATACCCTTGCTTCTTCAAATCAAAATTGAACCTTGCACGTTCTAGCAAAACCTGTTCCCTCTGCATATCTTCAACAGTTCTTTCTTTTTTCCACTTCATCTCCTTTATCTCTCTTCCAATTTCGAAATAGTTTTGCGGCAGATTTGACCCTCTAGAGCTCTTTGGGAATTTCACGTTTATTTCCCTTTACCCAAGAATACAAAAGAAAAGAAAAGACAAATCACCAACTTAAATTCAGAATATATAATTTTACGACAACTTAGTTATGCCATAATCTATATCAATATAAACCTAGGAGGAGACATTCTGCCTAAGAGAGCTTAAGAGAAGATAATTGGCCGAAAAGTATATGGAATTAACCTTAGGTCCAATCCCTGAAAATTGCATGAACTATTCTCTCAAATATAGATATTCTATGATAGGGTTATCTATCTTGATTATACTATATGATTTAGTGTGGTCTCTTGTTGATCTTTGGATGAAGAAATTCACTGATAAATAGTGTTTCAACCATAATTGAAATAACGTACAATAAACACATTGGTAAAAACGGTTTGTAGCATCCTTGCTGAGTATGCATAAACGACAGAAGGCTAAAGGCTGTACAATAAACACATTGTTGGAGACCATCAGAGACAGATGTTAGCAAGTTCACGAAGCCTGTACTACTGAACTCGCAAACTTAAAGCTCCATAACATAAGTATAAACAATAAACATATCTGCTTCAGAACTAATGCACAAAGTTAAGACAAGGTATTATAATGGTATATCACTCAGAAAGAATCAAGTTATTTGGAGATTAACAAATTTAGGGTATCACCACCCATACAACCTGAAAAAGTACGCACCGCCATGTCATCCATGATTGAGTTCTAAACAGATGAAAATAGAAAAGAATTGTTTCTGTAGTTCCCAAAATACAGAGAAATAACTTTCTTAAGACAAGCTTCTTTACCTCTTACCCAGGGAGAACACACCACTATGCTTTATCATCCCACCATCCAGGGATATGGCCCCATGTCTAATACAAGGGAGAGACTGTAGCATATCTTCTCTAGTCTTGTATACGTGCAAGCGGGAAAACAGGTTATAGAAGAGAGTCTCTCTTAGACCATAACCGGTGCTTGTAGCACAATATAAGTCCACACTGTCTATGTTGACCATATTCACAGCAAAACCAAGAAAACCAGGTGGAGAGTCCCCATTGGGTAATCTTGGCTTCAGAATATCAAGCCTCCTTTGAGGGTCATCAGCTATGAAATCTTCAGCATACGGTCTAAAATGAACCGAAAGAAGGAAAGGGGTCATGTATATGTAAAAGAGATGCATCAGTTTTTACAAGAAACATACTTTTGACCTCAAACCTTAATTTTTCAAGACAGATAACAAGGAAGCGGCCATCCAAAGGCTTTCCAATAGAAGCTCCAAGGCCATGAAGACCCAAACTTTTGTTTATGTGACCTTTCTCGTCGTATGTCTCCAGCGCTTTCATACCATCAAACGTCTTGCAAACAATTGCTAGCATAGTCTCAAGTCCCAAATAATCTGAGAGGAGCCTGGATTTAAGAGATCAAATATACATGTCAACCATCATACAGAAAAAACTGTCATTATTTCCCCTACTTGAAACAGCATGCTTCCCAAGTTCCCGTATCATCATAACTAATTTAAACAGAAAGAGATTCTCATGTTTTTCTGAATGTTGTTCGAGCCTACAGAGATGTGAAACAAAAACATGGAGGCAGGTAAGAGAAAATGTGAGGAACTGATCTTAACGCATTGCATAATATCAGTTTGTATGCTTTATGCGACTTCTTACTTGTTGACTGATCTTACTTGTGATAGTAAACTATTGGTAGACTCTGAGTTCATCTGATATGGTATGGTAAGACCAACTCTCGTCATTGCTTTACATAGGGTCGATTATAAATAATAATAATTCTTAATGATAAATTTGTTTATCAATTACAATTCTCACTCGAAATATATATGTATATTTTTTACATACATTATGTAACGACCCGCATGGTCCTTTTGTGCTTTTGAACTCTGTTTCCCAATTTGGCCTTCCTTGTAACCTTATTATGCTATTTGACTTGCAGGAATGGATAGTGTGGTTTTTGAGGTGATCGGGTGTGTTACAGAGAGAAAATTAGAAGCTTTGTACTCATGTCACCAAATTGTGGGGGTTGTAGCTCATAGGTTTTGCACTCTTTCATTCTATACACTTTCTTAATGGATAAATTCCATTTTTTGCTTTCACTTCCTCTTTTCGATAAATGAAATGGACTTGGAATGATAAATGCTTCGGGTATGGCATTCGGGCAGGTGCCATCATGGCTTAGGATTTCGGGTCATGACATTAATCCTTAACACTTCCCATGAGATGCAAACTTCAGTATCCACAATAAGAAACTAACACTAACACCACAATATATTTACTAATTGCTGAAGTGAAAACCATTATACAAACAACTCCATTTTTGCACACAATTGTTTTTAAGCACATCTCTAATCAATATGAATATCATTACGTAGCTAAATCTTTACTTCTTAATCTTACGCCGGCCACATGTCATCATCCTAATTGAGACAGAAATGAAAGATTCTATAGTTTCAACTTTCAAGGACATGGCTGAAGAAAACTGGGAAGAACTGTAATGTAGCTAAGCAAAAAGTGTAATGCGGATATTTTATGGCTAAAAAGATAATAAAATACAGAAATTGCCATAAAATTAACCTACAGAAATTGCCATAAAATTAACCTGCTAAGATTATCGTCATCAACGCTCCCAAGCATAGCAACAATTCCCACAACATCCTTCATCAAAGGAAGATGAGAAGCTTGAGTTCCATGATGACATTTTAGCTCGTACCAGATGCCGGCTGCAGATTTCTCATGTAGAAAGATGTTTCCGAGTGTCTCCTCCTCACTCTGTACATGGGAAAGTTCCTCATTTTCAGAACCAGATTCGCTTGCTGTCTGATACTTGCCAAGAGCAACTACAGTAACCACAAACACAAAATGTGAAAAAGAGATCTTGATATTGTAGTTCTCTCACGTGAATACTTCATAATATAAAGAGTAAATTCATAGATTAAAGGAAACCCACCGATGCAACAAAAATAGGTACTAGAATGACCCTATAAGATTTACACATGCACTACTTCACACTACTCACTGAACTTAAGGAAAAGGAAGGTACCTTGCATATCTAAGATTGAATTATCCAATCTGTTCTTGTGAGCTTTTAGGAAAATGATATTCTCTTCATGATGTTTAAGTTGCAGACCCATCTCATGCACAGCATCCTCAAGTTTCTGCAGTATACAGCTGGTACTTTTGACTGATTGATTTTGCAAAATATTAAAAATGTGGTAAATCTCAAGTAACAGCTGAGAATGGATAATCCATTAATCACAAGAAAGCACTAATTTACAGATTACATTTCCAGCAAGATGAAATGATACAACTGGTGCAAACTTCTTGCATAATGTTAACAACCTTTGTATTGTAGACAGCTGCCTCAGCAGCTTCATTTTGCATTGTGTCCCTTGCAAAAGAATAGGGATCAGCCTGACCACCTTGATTGAACCTCAACGGATCATGCACATCTACTGGATTAGCATTAATTGGCAACTAAAACAAAATAATAACAAAAAACTGTGATCAAATTTTTCTGCCAAAGACATCTAATCAGTAGCCTGCAAAGTTTCCTATCACAACAAGTGTTTGAAGTACTATTAAGTGTAAATCATAGCAAACCTTCATACATAATTTTTTCTTTTCCATTTAGAATTGAAGACCACTGGAGTTACCTTCTGGATAAAGGTCATATGCAGATTAGCCTATATGCTAAAGAAAAAGGAGAATCTAATCTGAGATTGTAGATGTAAAAGTTCCACATTTTTAGGAATTTCAGACCACTTAACCAGAGTTAGGCAACTGAAAAGAAATTCATTTTAGTTTGCTGATTAGTTTATATATTTGATGTCGAGCATACATAAGTTAAAGTCTTGAAAGGTAGGTCCTGTTGTAGATTTGAAATTTTAACAGAGTAAGGGAGTCCAAAAGACGCATCATTTTAGAAAATGGCTACACATCATTGCGATCGCAACTGTTTCAAACAATGCAGAAAAAATAAAAGAAAAAGGAAGTAGTGCCAGGACCATGAGGTTTTCGGAATAATCAATCAAGTGACTTTACAGTCAACTTCATACTGACAGACCAACATACTACCAGCAAGTCCTGCCTTATAACATCCACAGTAAAGATTGTCTAGACCAAACCCTGCCCCCCACCCCCAAAAAAAAGATTGTCTAGACAGAACCCTGCCCCCCACCCCCCCAAAAAAAGATTGTCTAGACCAAACCCAACCAGTATAATTGAAAAAGTAAAAGAATAAGTAGGAAATAATCGAGGTAGGAACAAAAAGTAATTTGAAAGATCCAATTAAAGAGCCCTCAAGTATAATTTGACCATAATTTTTTAGTGCAAAACCTTCGAATTCCAAGCTCATCTTTTGCTGGCACAATCCAGAAAACGTAAATAACTTAATAGGATATATAGGATGACCTTCACATCCTCAGATCCCATGACTAGATGAATCAGGAAAGTACAAATGTTCCCTGAATGCATTTAGCTTTATCATTGAGACAGTTTTCCTTCTTTATCATAGATATCTTGCTCTCATCCTACGCAATTCATTTAGGTAAAGCCACCTAAGCTTGGAATCGAATGTAGTTGTTATTTTCTACACTAATTGCACTTTCACCCCTACTTTCTGAATAATAAATTTTGTTTCAACTTTCTTAAAAATTAAAGTCTGAATTTACACAGGAATTTAGATTTGTTGAGCAGCTTTCTCCGCCATTCTTTCTAGGAAGAAGGAGATAGCTAGCATCTTCCTAAAAAATGTGGTTGTGGAAACAATCAAACACAGAACTATGCAATTTTCCAGGATAAACAATTGCTATTATAAATTTGGAAAAAAAAAACACTACTTGAGCCTTAGATTTTCTTAATTATACTACATTTATGTAATGCCTCAAGAAAGGCACTAAAAACACTCAAATTCAAAGGAGAAATATCTCAGATTACATGCATGAGATCATTTCCTGTGTCTATTAGTATAATTAACTGTTTCTCGTAGTTTTGAAGCTTGAGCGTGAGTTTCTATAAGAGAAATAGTAGTTAAAAAGACACTTCATTCAACGAGCAGGAGATGAACAGTAGCAATATGAAAAAGAGAAGCAATAGAACCTTCATTCTGTCGTCGTTCATCGGCATTTGCCCCGTCGTTGTTCCTGGACAGGGGTCGATAAAATTTATGCAGAGGAAACAGGCAATCGCGCGGTGCCTGACAGCAAAATGAATTATAGGGCTTTGCTGAATAAATGTGGATATATGTGAAGTTAAACAATCAAAATATATATATATATATATATATATATATAATATATATATAATATATATATATATATGAGGACCACAAACGAGGTAACGCCACACCTCTCTATGCCTCCATTCTTTTTTCTCTCTTTTTGATATCTTTTCATCTTTTTTTTTAAAAAAGGTGTTCATCATGGTCGCGGTAAAGATTTGTTGGAGCCTGGTCGAGAAGTTCAGATGTTCATCCTGCAATGATGAGGGACAAGCGGTGGAAGAGGAAAGTTTCGTCATGGATATAGGTTTCCTAATCCTAAGGGAAATTTATTTATTAATTAAAAAGTTCAAGTATATTTATTATTATAATTATATATAATGAGTTACAAAAATAAACTTCCATCTATTGATATTTTCACTTAAATAACATATTTTTTCAATTTCCTTCTAACTATTTTTATGGCTTATCCGATCTATAAATACCTATTATCTATAGAGATGTTGAATATTCATTTTTATTTTTTCATTCTTTCTTTTTAGTAGTATAGATTTTTAATTTTCTTTTCTTCGTCTTTTTATTCATCAATCATGTACATAATAAAAAGAAGACATATCAAAGATGATGTCACAATATGAACTTCACTTTGATGAAGATCATAGATATATTCTTCAAAAATTCATCACATTATTTGGTATAAATTCAACAAAATGAAGAAGGAAACATAATTATCTTGGAGATTCCGAAAGATAGAGTCATAGTAGTATAAAAGTTTGAATGATTTTGAAAATTCATTGTTGTATTATTTTGATTCCAATTAATATTATTCTATTCTCTTTTATTTTATTTCTTTGATTTGAACAAAAAAATGAATATTTTATTCATTGTTGTTGTTGTTGAAGATGAAAAGATGCACATTTTTTTATTATTTATATATAGGTTAATTTATAGCTAATTAATATTTTAAATTTTGTCATGATTGAATTAAAAGTATAGTACCTATGGTACATTTCTTTTTATATCTACGGGATATTGTTGCCCCTTAAAATATATGATGTGGTCTATCATATTAGTAATCAATCACAAAATAAATGAATAAATCTTATTTTTAGTATTAAATTTTTCCATTTGTTTCTTGTTCTTTTTTGTCTTTTTTTTTCTTTTCATAAAATATTTTTTTTATTAATTATAAAATTCAATCATATTTAATATTGTAATCATATGAAATGAGTTTAAAAAAATCTCAAATATTGACATTCTCTACTTAAATAGCATGTCTTTTCGATTCCCTTTTAATCATTTATGACTTATTTTATCTATAAATACCAATCATCTATGGAGATGTTTGCATGTTCATTTCCATTTTTTCATTCTTTTCTTAGTAGTATATAATCTTTTAATTTTATTTTCTTCATCAATTATGTAGTTAATAAATCAAAAAAGAAAACATAGATCACGATATGATCTTCACTTTGATGAAGATCATTGGTATATTCTTAAAAGATTCATCACATTTTTTGATACAAGTTCAACAAAATGAAGAAAGAAACTTAATTATCTTGGAGATTCATGCATAGAGAGTTGTAGTAGTATAAAAGTTTGATTGATTTTCAAACATTTTGAAGATTCATTGTTATACTGTTTTGATTTCAACTAATATTATTTTTTCTCTTTTATTTTATTTCTTCGTTTTGAACAAAAAAATGATTATTCTATTCATTGTTGTTGTTGCTTATCCCTATGGACAAATTCAAATCTTTTACAAAATTCATGTTGTAGGTCGAACCAAACCTCAAAGAGTGGGTAGGAATTTGTTTTATCTTGTATTTCGCAGAATATAATGAAACAAACGAACAATAGTTAAATACACAAAATATATAAACATGATATATGCTGAATAATGAACAATTGATTTTCCAATGACCATTATATTTGAATCTAATACATGAACTAATATTTGTATATGAAACACACCAGACCTTAATAAATGTATAAATCATACATATTAATTTAAAAATTGATTATAAATTGAGATTTGATAAAATCAATGATGTTATTTTTGTATCATGTAGATGATAAGTTGATAAGCAAATTATTAGTTGGAATTGATACATAATTTAGCCCATATTGATACCATCATTGGCATTTGCAGTAGTATTCCTATTTGTTGTGGAGTTGTACTCAATCTAACCAAGAGGGCTCCCAACTGCCATATCCTAATAGTCCTATCTTTAGATCCCAAGGCATAGGATTCACCTTGGAGAGAACCACAAACAATGCACAAGACCATGGTGTCCCTTGTTGCATCCAATTTCCTCTCCAATGTGAAAATCAAAGACATGAATCAACATATCTTCTCCTCCGGCAATGAATCTATTACCGAACTTTGGTTCCAGGGAAGCAGATTCAACTTTGCAAGGCAGGTCCTGACTCTTCACCAATCGAAAGTGGTTAACATCTCAAAACTTGACAGAGGAACCATCAACAGTTGTTATGTAACGACCATCCTGACTTACTTCAGCACTAGTTATAGGAAACTTAGTTTCAAGGATCTGAACAACTATGCCGCTCCTCACGTCCCATATCCTCAATCCACTAAGAACTCAAAATAATTTGATCATCCTGCAGTCGAGCAACTGTCGTTACTGAACAAGGAGAGATGTTAATTTCCCATTAGGTCGGTATAAAAATCAAAAATCCAAAGAATTTTTTCAAAACCAGCAGATTTTGTATCCTCCGGAAGGGCACATACCCGAACTATGTGCTTGTGGCCAAATTAGTGTAATACAATGCATCTTTCAATTTCGGGCTGAAATCAGCAGATGCAGATGCAGCATGAAGAGTATGTTTATCCAGATAACAACTCCACACGGATCCTTTATGCCCTTCAAATGTTCCAATCCAATCTTTCAGGTAATAAACTACCTTCTGATCTCTACTGCGTATTCTTTCGCCATGATCTTTACAATTTTTTATTAAGAGTGCTTTTCATATTCTTGTTTCCACAAATATCACAAGCATATCTATAAGTAAATCCTCTAAGACATTAGTATGGAAAATGATATATTGCAGAAAATACTGTGCACCTCAAGTAGAAGAGTCAGACGACATTTATTTCAAAGAGGAGATATCTTTTCTTAATTCACAGGACCTGCAGTTGTTAAACATTGCAATGACATTAACAACATCTCCAATCCAACACCAAATTTTACACCAAATCCTATATTTGGTGTATTGAACTCCAACCCGCACCATTTTTCACACCAAATTTGATGTGTCAATAGCGCCACACCAAATTTGGTGTGACACTATTCATCACACCAAATAACTATTTGAATATTATAATATTATTTTATTATACCAACCCTTAATTAAACATTATATAAATTGTATGTTTTAATTAAATTTCTTATATATTTAAAAAAATTAAAATTTATGTTAATTCTACTATGAATTATATAAACTACAATTAACCTTCACAATAATTAAAAATGCAAAAATATAAATTTTTAAACAAATAATACAATTGAGGATGAGCATGAACTTAATGCACCAATTCAAGATGCGTTGGAAAGTCCAACCCCGACCGTTAAAACGACAATTAATTTCAATCATTTTAGCTTGATATAAAAAAATAAAGGACAAAAACTCATTTTGAACTACGTAATGCATTAATAGAACATTTATGGGAGCACCATAGTGAATATTTATGTATAACTCAAATTATGTTTTTCAATTATGTAATGTTTATTTAATTTATTGTATTAGTGATTTCACTTTTATTTGTATTATCCATTATTATGTATAATGTATAATATTTGCTAGCAATTTATAATATTTAGAAAATTATAGTACAAAACACTTTTATATCAAACGACTATAAAAGGAAATAATATGAATCATAGATGGTGAATGTTTTGGAAGGAATTTGTTTTATGAAATAAGAAAATATAAATGAAATAAGAAATAATAATATAATAATGAAGAGAGAAAAAAAAATTCTTTTGAGATGTGAGTGGATTGAAGTTGATTACACCAATATTGGTGTTGACACTAAATTTGGTGAAAATTTTGGTGTTTGTGTTGGAGACGCCCTAAGCCTTAAAGTACTATGCACATGTTGCAAAATGGGTAGATGCCTTTGAAGCACGGTGCCTCAAGGCGAGTAGGGGGATTAGGGGCTTGGTGTTTCGGGGCGGGTCTTCGGGGATGACACCTCGGAGCCTCGAGGGGTGGGGCTGGGTGGGGGGCTCCAAGGCATGGTGCCTTAGATCCTGGGGGTGGGGTGGGGGGCCTCCGGGGTAGGGTTCTTGAAGAGTCACAATTAATGATGGAGAAACTAGGGAGTGAGCAACACGTGCACTACCTAGACGAGGGAATGCGTAAAAATGACCCATTTACAACGATATATAGTTGTTTAGTGAGGTGATAAGACACTTTGAAAGTTTAGGTGTCTTTATATAAATATGGGACAATTCGATGGTGTCTTTATGTCTTTTCTCTATCAAATAAGCATGCAAGACTACTAATTTTATATATAAAATCTAAAATTGGAAGCAAAATTTTAGAGTTCATGAGAAGCAAACAGTAATATAAAAAGTATTTCGAAAATACTATTTAATAACAAAGTTTGTGCAAAAAGTTTTTTTGAAAACATACATGTTCAAGAGAAAGAAAATTCAACACCGAGCTGAAAGAGTAATAATGGAGAGAGAGAACAACGCATATAAGAGAAAAAATAACAATGTGTGGTGATAATGGAGAGAGTGGAAGAGACGACAACGTATATAGGGAGAAAAAATAAGGATGTTTGAGTTTTGCAAGGAAATAAATTATCGTTAAAAAGAGTCTGAATAGAAATAAGTCTCCCTCATAGATCTGAGTGAATCATATGTTTTCAGATCATTAAGTGATGATTTTTCTTTTTAAAAAAGAGTAACAAACACACTTAATTACCCAAAGTATGAATCATTCAGATTTAGACCTCCATTAAGTGCAAATAAATAAGGCCTTCGTTGAATTTATAGTATTGTATTAGTATGGCGTAGCTAAAAGTTAGTGGCCTATCGATGGAAATAATGAGTTTGCGCATTGGACAAAAATTTAGTATTTGAAGATTATAGTCTTTTAATTATTTGGTTGAGAACAAGCTATCTATGATTAAATTGTGGGATAAGTTATCTCAAACACAACAACCAACAAAATATCAAATTTTTATCCCAAAACTATTTTTTAATCTTAAATTTTTTTCCCTCACACCAAACTAAACGAATAAAATTATAACTAATATACTCTAAAAAGTAAGTATAGAGTCAAATAAATAATTCATAATTTACTATCTTAATTCATATTCTACATTTCGTGAGAATGAGGGCAGTGCACATGCATACTCGTTACTAGAAGCCAATTTGTTGAAAGTCAAACTTTGTGTAGAATTGTCAGCTTAAGTCTTTGTAACTAACACAAAGAACAAAGAGTAGAGGAAAGCTACTACACCTTTTATCCTTTCTTTTTTAGTTACATAAAAGTTACTACACATATACACCTTGTGAGAGTGATAAATACCAACGGCAAGCATAGTTCTAGCATGTCGTAAAATATCGATTCAGAATTTAGAATTTGAAGTTCATAAAATTTTATAGTAATCATAAAAATTATTAATATTATATTAATAAATATATTTATATTTAAATATTTGTAAAATTCAATCGACTAATAAATCAATAGATATATAATAAGAGAGAAAAGAAAGTTATTGATTCCGTAAACTCTTGTACATGGTTCTAAATCCTCTCTGGTCTATTGTTCCCCAAAGTCAATTAATTTATAACCCTTTATAAATTACAAAATTAAAACTCATTATGATACATTGTACATATTTTTATTTTAGAAAATCAAATTAAAATATTTTCTTAAATTTTATATCAAAATTAAATATACGTAGTTTTTAGTTTGGAAAAAAAGGGTCTGATATACCCCTCAACTTTGTCATTTGGAGCTGATATACCCTCGTTATAAAAGTGGCTCACATATGCCCTTACCGTAATACAAACGGCTCACATATACCCCTGCCGTTACAAAATGACTCACATATACCCTTCATTCAATGGAAGTTTAAAAGTTAGTTTTAAATTTATATTTATTACTTCTAATTTTTTTTAAAAATTATTTAGGGGTATATATGATTCTTCTATCAAAGTTCAAGGTATATTTTAATTTTTTTCATACATAAATTATTTTTTGACTTATTTTATTATAATTATTTGAATTTCTTATTCTTATTCTTATTTTATTCTTTCATTCCTTAGTTTAAAGGAAAAAATTAAACTATTTTTTTTGTGTATTGTAATTTAATTTCGTATTCGAAGAAAAAATTTGGTCATCTACAATATGTTTTACAAGAATATTAGTAAAACATAAATAAATTTGATTATCAAAATAATAATTATAAATTAGTCATTGAAACAAAAAAAAGTCAAAAAAATTATGTTTGACGAGGATTAAATTTAATCATATGGGATTATATTTTTAGAAAAATAAAATAAAAATTTAGATTAAAATAATATTTTTTCATTTCCGTTAAAGGAAAAGGGTATATGTGAGCCATTTATTTACAAATAGGGGTATATATGAGTCACTTTTGTAACAAGGGGTATATCAGCTCTAAATGACAAAGTTAAGGGGTATATAAGACCCTTTTCCCTTTTAGTTTTACATTAATTTTAAACGTAATAGAATAAAGAATAAAATTTTTACAAGGTCATTTTTTTTTCTTTTTATATTTATACATATCATGGCTATATATACTCACCCATTTTCCAATCTAACCACTTAAACCATATTCTACTAGTGATCTCATTATTAGCATCTGGTACATTCTTTCTGCATAATACCCCACTTATTAATTCTTCATTTTTCTCATTCATAATATATTGTGGTACACACAGATCATACTCCCAGGTTTTTTTCCTTTTTATTTTTTTTCTTTTTCCAATATTCTGAATTCAATGTTTTCAGGCAGAAAATAAATTTATTTGGCTGAAAATGGGGAAGAAAGGAAGTGGTAATTGGTTTTCCACAGTGAAGAAAGTCTTTATTAAACCTTCTTGTAAGGATTATTTGCCAACAGATCATAAAAAGGTTAGTTATTCATTCTTCTCATCGATAAATATTGCATAGAATTAAAACGAAATTATCAATAAATTTTACTTTAGTACATGTAATTTGCTTCTATTCCTTCCAAAAGGATAGATTGGCATTGTTAGTATCAGATTATACAAATGCAAGCAATACAACTCAGATCTAAGTTATACACATTGACTCAGTATAATAGCAATCGTTTACTATAGTTTTGCAATTACTTTTTAAGTGATCTAATTATAGAAATATTGTATATAGTTTTGCAATTACTTTTTAAGTGATCTAATTATAGAAATATTGTATACATGATCGGCATGGCGGAGTCACCTTTGTATGAAGGGGTTCATCAGAACCCCTTTCCACGGATAATTATACTCCATCCGTTTAAAAAAGAATGATCTCCTTTACTTTTTAGTCTGTTTAAAAAAGAACGATCTCTTTCTTTTTTTGGTAATAGTTTAATTTCAGCTTTCCACGTGGCATGTGGACAATTTTATACACTTGACCTAACTTTAATTTAAGACCACAAGATTCCAAAATCTTCTATATACTCTTAAACTCCGTGTCAAATCAAACCAGTTCATTCTTTGTTAAACGGATGGAGTATTATTTATACATGGTCAAACTAATTTTATATGTATATATAGTAGATATCGAACTCTCTTCGACTACTTCATGTGTCTATTTTGAACCCCTTATTAAAAATTCTGACTCTGCCTCCGATTATCAAGATATTAAAATTTAGATTGGTATATGATTAAAAAAAATTGCAACATATTTTTGTATGTGGTCGTCTCTTTTTCTGGATCTCTGGTAAATCTACCAGCTTAGTTGCTACTGGTTTAGCCACCAAACGGCATTAACTTATAATCTTGAACACATATTGGTCCCCTCTAAAATAGGGCCCCTGTCTCAAGGCAACAACCTTGAATTTATGACTTGTTGCTTTCATCCACCTCTTCTATCAGTATCAGGTTTATGGTTCGATTTGGATAAATTTTTAATTTAAACGAAATCAATTTAATTGATTTTTAAGTTATTAAAATTAAATTAAATTAAATTAATATTTATTGATTTGATAATAACACACATTTTCGGTTGTTAGTTTTTTAACCATACAAAACTATGCACTTTCCTTCCTTTTCTACTACTAGTGCTCCACATTTTATTAAAGGAAAAATGTATAAGTATTTTCAACATATGTTCGAAATTTCAGAGATACACTTATTCTATACTAAGGTCTTATTACCTTTGAACTTATTTTATAAATAATTGTTTATCTTTTTCCAGTCTACGTGACACTAGCTTGAAAAAAATAGTCAACACGCGCTGAGCCCACAAGATAGTGCCACATAGGCCGAAAAGGGATAAAAAATTATTTATAAAACAAATTCAGATGGTAATAAAACCTTAGTATATTATAAGTGTGTCTTTAAGATTTCGAACAACATTAGGGGATACTTATGTATTTTCTCTTTACTAAACAAATAGATGAAGTGACAATTTTTATTAGGCAATACAACATCATCTCATTAAAATATACTCATAATTCATAAGAAGTCAAGTATATCTCTATTTAATATCTTATGGCTTCCAATGTGATTGCGTTGATAATATATGATGTTTTTGTGTATATAGTAGCATTATAACACATCATAAAAATAATAATTAGACACTCCTAGCTTATATTTTGCGTGTATCCTCAAACAACTTTAAGATCTCCTTTAATTATATATATATCAACATCAATTGAAACATGTATGTAAGGTTTATTGAGACTATTGCATATGATTAAGAAAGATGACATACTTTAATGGTTGACTTGCTTAATTATATAATGGATGTTTAAGAACCCGGTCCAAAATCTTCCCAAAATTTTGAGTCCAAAAATATATTACTCTCATGTCTTTAATTATTCATTAAATTAATCACCAGTTCAAGTGTCTAAATATAATTTACTCGACAAGTTTAAGGGCTCGTTTGGCCATAAATTTTTCAAATAATATTTGGGAAAAATTTGGCAAATAATGTTTGTCCATACAATTTGTTATTATTTGGCAAATATTTTTGGCAAATATCCCAAATTTTCAAATACTAGTTTTTTCTAGTATTTGGGCCAAATATCATTATTTGGGATATTTTAAAAATAAAAATTTTACCCCAATCTTTTATCTCTTACAAAAACACTCTCTCTAGTAGTTGCTCGCGTTGTATTACATCATTTTTTACGTGAACACCAAAATAGTGATGAAATATGTAGTGAATATTAAATAATGATATGATTGTTGATGAAAATTATTAAAAATTGACTTTAGGTAACAAAGTCATGTACTTTGTCTACTTCACGATGTATGGAATAATTCTTGTTGCACTTGCTCCAAATTACCACATTGCTTTAGTGTCATGGACATTATTTGTTAACGTTGTAACGAACATTCATTGACTTATAATACAAACTTTTAGTTAATTTTGATAGTTTTTAAAACTTGTGTGTATAAATCATATTTTTCTAAAAAGGTGAAATATATTTCCCAAATTTTATGGCCAAACACATGGTGAAATTTCACCCAAATTTTCACTCAAATAATATTTGCCAAAAATATTTGAAAATATATGGCCAAACGCTAGCTTAAATGGTTGAGTTGCTTAATTATATAAAGGATGTTTGAGAACCCGGTCCAAAATCTTCCCAAAATTTTGAGTCCAAAAATATATTACTCTCATGTCTTTAATTATTCATTAAATTAATCACCAGTTCAAGTGTCTGAATATAATTTACTCGACAAGTTTAAGAATCCAGAGCGTTCAATTGAAGTGATTTGTTTGGTTATGAGAAGGAAAAATTAGAGAACCAATGGCAACATGAAGCTCGAGAAGTTGTCTCAGTTGAAAAAATTCCAGCAGAGAGTTGTTCAGATCTAACAATTAATCGAGAGAGCAATGAAAATTCATCAATTTCATCGGCTGAAGATCGAAATCATGATATTCATGTCATTGAAGCCACTGTTGCAGCCGCTGAAGCAGCAACTTATACAGCCCCGAAAACCATCAAATTAGATGGACACAACCATAAGTCTAAAGAGGAAATTGCTGCCACACTAATTCAATCCTATTACAGGGGATATCTGGTAAATTAAAACCCAATTATTATCATTCTAATTATACAAGTATTGTTCAAATATACATATTAATTTTGTAGGCAAGACGCGCTTTGCGTGCTCTGAGGGGATTGGTGAAGCTGCAAGCGCTAGTGAGGGGGCACAGCGTACGCAAACAAGCGCAAATGAAAATGAGATGTATGCAAGCGTTAGTACGGGTGCAGTCAAAAGTACGTGCACGAAGACTCCAGTTGCGGCAGAGCAAGGTGGTGGAAGAAGTGAAATCGCGTTCGAGTATTAGAGAAGAGAGCCTGTTATTAAACAAACAAGAGACACACAGCATTGAAAACACTAGAAGAAAACAACAGGTCTATAATGCTTATCAGGTTAGCCATTATATTCCTTTACCTAACAAAAGTTACATCCCAGAGCTTGTTTGATTCGACACACAATTTTTAAAAAAAAAAAAATTAAAATTTTTAGTCTAAAATAAATGATAGACGATTTATTTGGTTATAAAATGAGTTGTATAAATTGAAAGAGAGTACTGATGTAGTGTAAGTACGTACGTACGTTCACATTAGATGCACTAATCACTTAGGGTCGTTTGGTTCACGCAAGACTAATTACGTATGACGCAAATATTGTTATACGAAGATCATGAATAATATTGATGTATAGCTAATTAATGGTGTAAATAAGAAATAATAATCCGTGGCACTTCCCATTTAATCCTTGACATAAACCTTTTATAATCACATAAATGTAGTTTAATAATCACATAAGTATTATGATGTATAATAAAACAGTTTTTAGTGAGAATAATGACAAAGAGTAGTGTTATCGTTTATCAATATTAATTAAATTTAATGTCATTATATTCTTTTACAATATTTACAAAGAGTTTTTAAGTGTAATTGTCACTGGTAATCGAATACATATCATCTCATATTCCCCCTTAAATAAACTCCATGGTCTTAATTTGTATTGGCTAATGATATGTTAGCAACAACAGAAATGGTTGCACTCTGATCTAGATGATGAAGAATGTTTTGGGAATGAGCATGAAAATCCACAACAAAGTTGGAATTGGCTTGATAAATGGATGGCTTCTCAACATGTTGTACGACAAGAAGACTCCTCTTATGTGTCATTATCCATCACAGATGACATATCAGAGAAGACATTCGAATTGGGCCCTGAAGATGTCAACTTAGCCCATCAAAATGAAAAAAGCCCATATTCATCCACTCAATCCAACAAAGATTCTGTCCCTAGCTACATGGCTCCAACTAAATCTGCAAAAGCAAAAATAAGAAGCCCAGGCCCAATAAAACCTAAAAGCCCACCAGGAGTGGCCCAATGGAATTCAACGCCCAAGAAGGTGACAGCCCGTAGGTGGAGCTATGATTCATCCGCAAGAAGCCCAAACCCGAAAATTTCTGCTAAATGGATGGCAACCTATAGTCCTCAAACACGTGTACACGACCGGACCTCACTAGTGGGACCCCCTGCTCACAGATATAATTATAATTAGATTTTTTTTTTTTTGCAGTAAATGAGAAGTTCAAATAAATGGTTGTTTTAAATATGTAAATGTTGTGAAATAATTATATTGAATTGTTCAGTACATGCACTGGAAATAAATCTTCATTTTCTTCTTGATTTCAAAGGCTTTTAACTCACTTTCCCAGTGATCAACCTTCATAGTTAATGCAATGTTTACGACTATTTGTATGTAATGTGGTATAGAGTTTATATAATATTTTTTCAAGTAAAGGTGGTTTGTCAGTTGTCCCACATCGGTTAAGTGAAGAGGAAGCATAGAGAAACGAGCCTTATAAAATGGAAAGCAGGTGGGAGATCGAACGGTATCTTTGCGCTTGGGGCAATGACGCAGCTAGTGAGGTTCTAACCGAGGCGCGTCTATTGCTGGTTGAAAACTATTTCCAAACCCCCTCGTCGGCCTAGGTTCTGCCTTGGCCGTCGAGAATTTTTGGAAGGGCATCCCCTCGGGGATAAGCCCTACAATACTAGTTATAAAGAATTGCTTTTGGTCTTTTCTGAGCTAGAACTTGAGTGAATATTAACTACTTCAAGAGAGAGTTACTTAATTCACAATATTTTTGTGCAGTTTGAAAACAACCTGGTGATTTCCCTGTCACTTATTGAATTCACCACATGCCAAGGGCAAAGATGTTACAACAATATATCTAACATAAAAGAAATTCATATGAAGCTCCTATCTCTCCACCATAGTTTTTTGATCAAAATCTCCTCAGCCTTGAGTAGCCTACATTCTTGTTTGATTATCCGAAAAGCATACAAATCACGGGTGATTGCCACTGCTACCGCCTTTCTTTCCTCTTGGATCATGCTTGGTGTTAGGTCCTGCATTGTCATAATCTAACACAGTATCCAGCTGCAGCAACTTTCTTGGATTTTCTCCGATAACATGCTTCACACAATTTGAAACAAAGATCAATCAGTGACATCTAACTTTTCAATTGGTATAGACTTGGTATGCTGTATGCAAAAAAATGGATGAGTTAGTTATAAGTTGTATGTTGTAGTATATCTTATTGCACATAATGTATTAACTGTTAGAATAGGTTAGGGTCTCAGGTAGATTGGAGAATGGACCAGTGGTCTGCTTATATGAACGACTTAGCTAATCCTTACCTTGTGAGCTAACTTTTAGAATTGAGTACAATCATATTTTTTACATGGTATTGTAGTTAAGTCGGTGGCGAGAAAAAAACCTGGGAGGTAAGTTTCGGCTACTGAATGGGTTTGCAACAGCTCTAGCTACCTCCACTATAGGTTACTTTGTTATTTTAGGGTGTCCAAAACACTATAGATACCAATATAAGTCAAAATTTTACGTGTATATATCATATAATTTTTCGACAAATGATGTCCACCCGGGGACAAGGTGGGGGGTGTTAGAGTCCAACATCGGTTGAGAATGGACTGGAGGTCTGCTTATGTGGACTTGGACAATCCTCCCTCATGAGCTAGCTTTAGGAAATTGAGCTAGGCACAAATGTCAATATCTTTTTCACCAATAAAAGATGAAGTTGCACTTTGTCTAGTAATGAGAACTGGTTGCATTTCGTTAGTTGAAGCATGATATGATATGATGAATCAATCAAATAAATTTACTTCCCTATGACTACCTTATGAAGCTTGTAAGCACGGTTCACGCCTTCAACATGACCTAGATGACACAAAGAAGAATAAGAAACAACAGTGTTAACATTATTATGTCATTTTGCTAGTGTAAACCAGGCTAGTTGAAATGTTGTTTTCATATTATAGTGAAAGTAGCTTCTTACCAGAGGAAAAAAAGATGAGAAACAAAAGGAGTAGAATGAGAGCTTTGATCCTCCTAGGCCTCATAGTAAGTAGAGTAGATTGATTCTTGAGATGTGAAGGGGAAGAAAGGAAGAAGTACCCCTTTTATTATGTCTGCGAAGAGGTAGTGGACGTAGAGCAAATCTAGGATTTAAATATTATGGGATCGAGTTCAAGATTTACCAGGTTCGAAATCTATTATACTTATATACATGATTTTTAGTAGGTTTGGATGTCATTGTAACTAAAGCACTATATTGGCCTCTGGTAGTGGTAATGGTGCACCCACTCATTTACTGTATGTATAGGCAGAACTAGCAAGTCAAACCAGCACTGAAATGAATATAGTGCACATATATCTACATGTTACATCAAAGTAGAATAGAAAGAACAAAAAAGTAGGTATGATTGTAGACTAATATTTTGATCAATGCATATTGTGTTTGATGGAGTCCTTTTACGACTTGATTAAGTAAATATAGTGTGATTTCTCAAATAGTTTTACGTTTTTATATGAGATGGTTGACAATTTAGCAGTTTTGAGCGATTATATATGTTAATTGTGCACCCACCCAATATTTGTAGAATGATAAGTTGCAATAATCAACAAGTCAAACTAACATCTATATGAATTCAATGTATTAAAAACAGAAGTAACAGTATAAATGCTGTATGCATTTGGACTACTTTCTTTCATATCTATTTTATCCTTATCACCAAGCTCTGCCATTATAATTTCAGCTATTTTTTTTCCCTGTTTTCTCTGTGTGTACATGTACATCAACTTTTTGAGAACTAAATTTGATTTCCACTTCCTTGGCCTATAATGAGATCAGTGACAATAGCTCATATGGTGGATTCATCCATCTAGAAAAGGACGGTTATCCGACATAGGTATAACAACATTATTGAAGAGTTCGATCAATATAATCCAAAAGTTTGGATATATGCTTACTCTACAACTTGAGAAAGAAATCTTCATGTTTGTTGTCAGTGTAGAGGAAACTGAAGAGGAAAAAACAAAGAGTTAATATTACAAAGCAAAGCAACTACTTTCTACAAAACCAATCACATTTGGTCTTTCTTCCTTCAATAGTAAAGAAAAATACTCACTCCTAATTTAACGTGACACGGTTAAATTTCGATATTCAAATTTTTAATCTAATCATAAATTTGAATATAAAAACTTGAGTGTTTTTTGAAATAAAAATCATATATTTAAAAACTACGTAAAAAGTAATGTAAATCACAAGAAATAACAATTTAACAAACATAAAAGATTTCGATTAACAAAAACCTAAAGTTGATCTGACTTTTAAAATTTGTTTTTATATAAATTGTAACGGGAGTATATTTCATGTGTTCATTACGAAGTGATAAGGGCCCTTGCTTGTGACAGGAGATGGGCAGTGACCTAAAAATGAAATAAATAAATAAATAATTAAACTTGTTCTTTTCCTTTTGGGAGGGTTGAAATTAGGTAAGAACACAAGTGAAGAGAAAGTCCACTATGAAACTATGGGGAGACAAACGACGTAGAACACCATTATAAAACTCAAAATTTGAATTAAGAGGAATTGAAATATATTTTTCTTTGAACCAGACACTCCCTTGATGTTGGATTACTAATTAAACAGAATTAATCACACTCATCATAATGACAAATGGGAAATTGATACGTTAAACAACTTGTTTGACCATCTTTTTTCAACTATATCTTATCAAAAGATTTTGTCATAAAATCTTAGTCAACTTCTTTAAGTTCAAAATCCAGCCGCAACAAAGTAAGAAAACAGGTAAGACACCATTATATATTTGACATGTTTTTCTCATTTCACAAGTATAGTAGTTGTTAGTACTCGACTAATATTTCAACACTAACACACTACTCATTGTTCAAGAGGTAACCATCCGCTAGTCCTTGTAGGTTCAACTACCACCATAGAAGTAAATAAAAAAGGCTTAATAAATTTCTACAAATGTTTACCCCAAGTAAAATCTAAAGATTTGGAATGATAAGTTGGTTTTTGATTGATTATTTACACCATGGTTGACAGGTATTTCTCCATTACTAGCTTTTCAAAAATGCAAAATTCTTTAAGAGATTCAAAAGAACATATGAAGGAAATCTTATGGAATGCCAATGAGCTAAACCCACAATAAGTCATTCAAAAGAAATGAATGAGATGCAATGCAATTCAACTATAAAACAGATCCAGTTGATATGACAAAGACACGGACTGACCGACCAAAAATATATATGTCTATATATATATTTGTGAAAAAAATAATCAAAAGTAGCTATGGCTAAGTATCAAGACTACCAAAACTTGGGACATGTACATGCTGACCATGAAAACCCTTGAAGCAGAGACAGGATACATCAGGCCCTCGGTATTTCTTGTTAGAGTACCAAGGTAAGATCCACAAGCAAAACCAGGAGCCTTGCTTTCTTCAGCTAGTTACAAAGAAAATTCCCTTCCAATCCCAATATACACCACAGTAACATCGCGTCCACTACTGGCAATCACCATGACCCATCCCCTCCACGGCAAAATAAAATAACCCCCTCCAATGGTGCTGGCACATGTATCTGACAACTTGGATGAAACATTCTTCCATTGTCAGAAAATGGCAATGACTTGACACATGAATGCAATCTTGGATTCCGACTCAACACAACTACATGCATGCAGGGACATGAAAAAAAAAGAAGTATGTACCAAGTACCCACAACTTTAAACTGAAATGGCACGGCTAATAGCCATCTGGGCCCACTCAGCAGATTCCTTAATCAAATGGTCATCTGACGACAAGCATTCAATCAAAAAGTCTTTGCTTGATACTGATTGTTGAATCAATGAACCAGCATTACTGCCCAGAGTATCTGCTAAATCTCCCAGAACTCCAATAGCAGTCTTCATTACCACATCATCCCTGTAATTGGAGAGAAGGGGGTAAATCTCAAAAATCAGAACATCGATGGCCTTCATAAATAGAGCAAAAGAGAAAAGTAGAAGCAACCAAGCAATACTTACATGTCTTTCTCCATATAAATACTGTCCAGGAATTGGAGGATATGAGGCGCATAAGGTATCAGCAGCTGAGTCTTAGGTGAGTTCTTGAATCCCTGAAATATGCCGGAATAAGCCTCCAGGATTCCATTTCTCAGAAGATTTGTGTAATCTAATATCTCATCATCAGCACCAGTTGCACGTGCTGACAGTTCCGCAGCACTCTGGAGCATAGGCATGGCATACATCAAGTACTTCTCGAAATTCTCTCCTATCGCCAAGGCTATGTCACCAAAGCATGAAAATATTGGTGGCTTTACAGAACGATGTAGCTGATTACTTGATAGATCCTTGAGAAGCTGTGTCATTATACCATCACAATAAGGTAAGATCTTATCCTCCAAAGCTCTGCATAAATCACCCACAACACCTACGGTGACAGCACAGACTTGGTACTCCTCAAAATTCTGAAGACCCATCTCCAGGTACTTGTAAAATTCATGCATGTACTTGGCAAAGTCAGGAGCAGTTGCATAGGCAAGTGCTCCAATGGAAAGCATGGCTTCCTCATGCACAGTAGCACTTCTACATGCAAAAACCCTGAGGAAAAGGCTCATGATCTGATCAGCATACTGCGAAAAAGCATACTTTGTTTGCTCTGAGGACCCTAACTTCTGAATAATAACCTGTAAGCATCCACACAAAAGACCTTGCAACTCACTCTGCTTCTCACGTTCATCAGACGAAAGCTTCTGAGCCTCAAGAGTCTGGTGGAGCTCCATCATAATGACAGGAACTAGTTGCAAAACCATGGGAGTTGTTTCATCAGTCGAACACCTCACAACTTCATTGAGTGCCTCGTATGCAGCAGTCCTAAGCCGTGACTCACCAGCATCTTCTCTGTGGGTTGCTGTGAGAAGCGATTGCACCATTTCCTGGAAAAAAGGGGTCAAGGGAGATGATGCAGCCACATCCCCATACCCTTGGGCAAGAAAATAAAGAGCACCACATGCTTTTTCAGCAACATTTGGAGCATCCTTCATGCTCTGAAGTAGAACTGTAATGATCTGTTGGCAGTTTGTTGGAGTAATAATGGGTATCTCCACAGTTGAACCATGAAGAAATTCAAATATTCTTCCAAGGGTCCATGCAGTAGTGTCCTTCACATGGCTATTTGCATCCTTTGTCAATGCAGTAAGCATGAAGTTTAGAGCACTATTAACAATGGGCATTAGCTTATCAGGTGAAGGACCTTCCAAAATGGATCCAAAGGCATATGTGGCGGCCTCTCTTTGCCTCCAATCAGGCTTTGTAATGTTCTCTTCAATGAATGGCATAACAAGAGGTACAATGTCATCTCCTACAGTCCTTGCAACCAAACCAAGGCAAGTGCCACCGGCCATAGCAAGATTCCAAGCAACTTCATCCTGATCCTGATCTTCTTCTTGCTTGAGAAGTGTCTCCAGTAGCATAGGAACAAGTGCAGGAAGAGCCTGCTTGATGAAATTATAGCAAGGAACATCAGAATCTGCAGTAAAATCACCCCCATAATCTTCTAAAATATCAATCTCCTCATCACAGATTGAGCTCCAAAATTCAATGGCTTGAAGAGCAACAGGCTCCTCATCCTCTCTAACAGCCTTTGCTGTAATGTTAAAGATGTCTTGAATATAAGGAGCTAATTTCTCATAGTATGTTGACGAAATCGACACTAAACATTCAAAAGCAGCCTGTCGAATTTTAACTTCAGGAGACAGAGTGGCCTGGCAGACAACTCTCATAATAAAGTCACGCTCCATATCATTGGTGAAATTTGCCTGAGCAAAACCAAGTGCATTGTATAATGCTCGGGTAGCAGCAAGCCTCACATCATTGTTCCTTTCTTCAGCATTCATACCCTGAATTACAGCTGTAAGGATTTTATTTACTTGATCCTGCTCCATGACATCAGGAGAAACTTCTTCACATAAATATCCCAATGTCTCTAAAGTAGCTTGCTTGACGTGGGCAGGGAGCTGTTGATTTGACAAGAGTGACCCAATCAACTCAGGCCACTGCTTCTGTGGCAGCTCAATGCCAGCAACCTTGGCAATGACTTGTGAAGCAGTTGATCGAGCATCAAGTGCTTGAGAAGAGAGGGTTTGTAACAAGCATGCTTTAATCTGGGTCTTCACAGCCACATCAAGTGACAGCCATCTTTGGACGAGTTCATATTTCCTGTGTTGTTCCTTGGCATCCAAAGCATTTTTTAGTATTAGACCTGCCAACTTACGACTATCCACTGGCTTGTCCTCACTAGCCAACTCTCCTGACAGAGACAATAGGAAACCAGGAAGATTTTGCTCCTGAAACTGTTTCAATGTTTCTTCTGCATGTTTTCGCACTGTTGAATCAACTGATTGTGCATTTAGAAGGACCTGAGTGACTTCCATTGCAATGTGATTCCTGCCACACATGAGATATCCCGTAAGTAAGAATCACAGGATTATCATAAGATGATAAGAATGAACTTGAAGTAATGCTAATATTAAGAGATTGCTTGGTTTAAAGTGCTAAAAAGTAAACACGAGACCCGAAGCTGTAGCCTAGTAGTGAATGCAGTTGTTTGAGAACCATGAGCTATCAAGTTAAGATCCCAGAGGAGACAAAATATGAGGTAATTTTTTCTCATGCATTCAAGACTAGGTCAAAAAGTTATCCAGTATAAGTGTTGGTGGGAGGTAGCAGCTACCCGTGGAAATAATTGAGGTACCCACAAGCTGGCCCGGACTCCAAAAGAAAAAACATGGTATAAAAACCCTATTCCACATTTGGTTGTCATTTTCATGTCTTACATAGATAAGACTGTATAACTTATATGGTTTGGGAATAGTTCTCAACAAGCAATAGAAGCACCTTGGTTAGATCCTCACTACCTGCGTAGACCACATAAATTGTATGGTAAGTTATGTATAATTTATACCTACATAAGCACCCAAAAAATAACACCATTGATACTAACTTGGTGGTTGTTCTTATCCCCAAGTCCTCGACAAACCTGTTGATGCTTTAGGCATTTTTTATATTGGTAGAAAATGGCAACTCACTTTAAGGAACATCACAGTTAGGGTAATTAACTCTTCTAGATAAAGATACAAGCATCGGTCTAGGGATGTGCCATAGAACTAACAGACTTCAGACTCTTTCTTGGAAAATACCACAGAAAGCCACTACCTCTTGTCATAATATGTTGGAAAAATAACATTGACAATATCCTGTGTGCTTATCCATCTTAAATGAAAAACCATTTCTGCGTTTCACCAGTCTACGATTTGCAAGGAACGTTCATGGTTTCTATGCTTAAATAGATCAGTGCATAGTGATATAGAGAATAGAGTCTTCTCTTCCCCTTTTTTTTGGTAAGCAAATGTTGTTTTTTGAGAAGTAGATTATTATCAGAAGAAAGCCCCTTACTAAGTAAATAAAAATACAAAAAAATCTTAATTAGAAGAAAAATATCTACCATTATATAGTTAAAAATGATCACATTCGACAAAAGGTGCAAGTAGCACACAAAATAAAAATAAACTATGGTGAGTTGGAAGTGTTAGCAAGGAGATGAGGTAGTCCTAAAATCACATGGGAGAAAGTTGACTCAAAAACCTACCATCTCTCTTGAAATCCTTGAAGACCTAGTGATTAATAGGGAACAACAAAAGAAATGTAGGCAAAAACAATTGGTACGATTAATTTTTAGTCATGTTAGTAAATTAAATTTAGGACCAATATTTTCTAGAGATCTTTATGTCAAAAATATATATTTCAGTAGAAAATATGAAGAACCTGTAGTACTTTTATTTTTATTTGTTTTAACTTCATGAAATATGGACTAAAGATGATCTTTATCCGCTGGGTCCGGGGAAGAGCATACCACAATGGTCTATTGTACACAACCTTAACCTATATTTCTGCAAAAGCATGTTCTCATAGCTCAAGGCAACCTTACCAGTTACACCAAGACCCCTTCAATGTGAACTACAGTACCCCATAAATCTAAAGCACAATGTAAAAAGGGATGAGGTCCACTATAAGCAAGAGAAAAAGGAACATAAAAGTTGAAGCAGCATCAATAGAGGCCTTACATATCAAATTAAGAAATATTGCATCAATTGAAAAACGGCACCAAGCATTAGGGAATAGATTCATGATTAAAATAGAAATATATTAATCGTCTTGTTTAATTATTTTAAAGGAATTATTACTGCATTCTTGTTAATTATAATTCCATCAAAATATGAACATTACCTTAATTGAATAGGCAAGTAGAAGTTGAAATTTGCTATGAGGAAAGTTAACCTTGTTAATGAATAACACAGATAAATTAGTATGTCAAATTATTTGAAGAATGCAACATGATTGCTAGAATAAACCATAAATCCAGAATATTTTTCTCATTATTATCCAACCGTTACAAGTGTGTTGATTATCTGTTTTAGCTTGCCTGTGCATAGAAGGCAACAACCACCAAAAAAAGTCCTCAGATACAAGTAATTAATAAAATTCATGCACCCTGTTCAGTAAAAACAATCCTTTTCTGACTTTAAAAAGCACTCCAGAGCTCAATCAAACAGCAAAAGTAATGACTGCACACAAACCCCTCATATATTAAGGTTCACAAATAACAGCTTCAGAAGCCGCAATTACTGAAATTATGCATAGGATCACCAAACGGGTCTACTACAAAACCTAGTTCATGTAAAGTGCATCACCATATCACTTGGAGAAGTTTCAATTTCAATAAAATAACAGAGCATATCATTGATCATATAGATCTCAGTCCTCAAAACAGAGTCACTAACAAGGATAGATGCAATTAAGTGAATCAAAAGATTGGAACCACAAACAAATCTGTTGAAGTTCAAACATTGAACATTAGATAAAGCTTAAATCAGTTGTCCACAAAACTAATCAATTTTTATGATATGAAGAATTGTTGTTGAAAACAATGACTGAAGTACCTGAAAATTGTAGATGCGGCAAATGAGATGGTAACCAGCAAATTACACTGAGGGATCGAATATACCAGAAACGGCGCCCAATTGAAACCCTAGAGAGAGAGAGATGGAGTGAAATTATGTTTTGTTATTTTGTTCCTTAAATAGAATACTTACATTTTTTGCCTTTGTATAATGTAGTTGATTTAATTTCGGGTCAAATGGCCCACTTTTATATAAGGCCTTATGGGTCTTTCTAGAAAGACATTGCGTCATTTTGTGTAGTTTCAGATTTTAATACACTGAAATTATAAATTAAGCGGATCCAATATAAACCTAGTTCATGTAAAGTGCATCACTATATCAATTGGAGAAGTTCCAATTTCAATAAAATAGCAGAGCATACCGTTGGTCATACTAGATCTCAGTCAACTCAAATATCAGAAATTAAAAAAAAAAATATAATATATATATATATATAAGCTTCCAAACCAAAACTCAGTCAATAACAAGGATAGATGCAAATAAGTGAATCAAAAGATCGGAAGCACAAACGAATCAATCGAAGTTCAAGTATTGAACATTAGATGAAGCTTTAGTAATAGTGTCTTTTTTTAAATTCGTTACTTGTTTGTATAGCAAGGATTTCCAATAAGTTTTAATCCAACTTTTTGAATGCTTTTTTTTTTACATCTATCAAGGGCACAAATTAGTTTGATTAGTATTAAAAATGGCAAAAATGTTTGCTAAAACATCACTAGTTAAATGGCATTTTAGCCCAAACCTCAGTTCTTCAAAATGACAAAGGAATGAAGCATATGTCAACACTCAACAGCATTATTTGAAATTATCTCTTTTCCAGATAAATTTCTATTTCAGTTTATGAACCAAATGTTAACAAGAATGTATGTGCATCAACTAATTATTATAATCATAATATTACAACCCTTGCATAATTATATGTGAACCACAAAAAAAGGCATCCACGCCCTTAGATACTAACTATTGGCAGGGTCAAGGCCATACAACAAGGGTCTATTATACGCAGTCTTAACCTATATTTTTGCAAGAGCTTGTTTCCGGAGCTCGATGCAACTTTACCAGTTACACTAAGACTCCCTTCAATGTGACCCACACTACCCCATAAATCTAAAGCACAATGTAAAATAGATAACGTCTACTATAAGCAAGAGAAAAGAGACACATGAAAGTTGAAGCAGCAACAACAGAGGCCTTACATATCAACTTAAGAAATATAGCACCAATTGAAAAACAACACCAACCACTAGGGAGTAGACTCATCGTTAAAATGGAAGTATATTAATCCTCTTGTTTAATTATTTTAAAGGAATTATTAATGCATTCTTGTTAATTATAGTTCCATAAAAACATAAAAATGACCTTAATTGGATATGTTAGTAGAAGTTTGAAAGTTTGCTATGAGGAAAGTTAACCTTGTTAATTAATAACTCAAATGTATTAATAAATCATATTATTTGAAGAATGCAACATGATTGTTAGAATAAGTCTAGGATATTTCTCTCATTGATATCCAATCTGATCGGCTTTTCACAAAAAAAAAAACAAAAAAAAATCCTCGGCTGCAAGTAAATTGATGAAGTTCATGAACACTGTTCAAGGAAAACAAGCCTTTTGCTTCGTTAAAAAGCACTCCAGTGCTCAATCAAACAGCAGAAGTAATGACTAAACGCAAACCTCTCACTGATGTTCACAAATAGCAGCTTAAGAAGCTGCAATTACTGAACTTATGCATATGAACATAGGATCATTATATCGATCCACAACAAAACCAACTTCATGTACAGTGCATCACTATATCAATTGGAGAAGTTCCAATTTCAATAAAACAAACAGAGCATATCATTTGGTCATACTAGATCTAAGTCCTTGAAAAGCAGTCCATAAGATGCAAATAAATGAATCAAAAGACCGGAACCACAATCGGATCAATCAAAGTTTCAAGTATTGAACATCAGATGAAGCTTAAAATCAGTTCTACAGAAAAATAACCAATTTTTCTAAACAGTTGAAAAAAAAAGAGTGAGTTACCTAAAATTGCAGATGCGTTGAATGAGATTGAAACCAGCAGATTACACTGTGGGATTGAGTGAATCAAAACGGCGCCCAACTGAAACCCTAGAGAGAGATGGAGTGAGAGTAGAGAGAGAAAGATCACGCGAATTTAAAGGGAACTTGAATTACTTTTATTGCAAATCTATTATACTCATTTTGTGCTTACTTCCATTGTTTTTTCTGTTTCTATTTTAATTGGGTAATTATCTGCTACTATGCGACTGGTGGAGTAATTAATATGTAGGAAAAATTATCTCATATACTCCTCAATTTTGTATTTAAAGCTGATATATTTATTATAAAAGTGACTCATATATATTCCTACTTATAAACATATGATTTATATATACTCTTTTTCTCGAAAAATAATTTTAATCTAACTTTTTATTATTTATTTAATAAAAATATAATCTCATATGAATAAATTTAATCCTCGTCAAACATATTTTTTTTGTTTCAATGACTAATTTAAAATTATTATTTTGATTATCAAATTTATTTATGTTTCACTAATATTCTTGTAAAACTTATTGTAGATGCCCAAATTTTTTTCTTCGAAACAAAAATTAAATCACAATATAGAAAAAAAATAGTTTGAATTTTTTTCTTTAAAAATAAGGAATGAAAGAAAAAAAATAAGAATCAAAAACTCAAATAATTATAATATAAGAAGTCAAAAATAATTTATGTATGAAAAAAATTAAAATATACCTTGAACTTTGATAGAAGAGTCATATATACACCTAAATAATTTTTTAAAAAAAATTAAAAATAATAAATATAAACTTAAAATTAATTTTTTAACTTCCGTTAAATGAAGGTATATGTGAGTCATTTTGTAATGGCAGGGGTATATGTGAGCCGTTTGTATAACGGTAAAGACATGTATGAACCACTTTCATAACAAGGGATATATCAACTCCAAATGACAAAGTTGAGGGGTATATCAGACCATTTTTCCTAATATCTATTTTGAATTTTTCTCAGCTTATTACTCTTATGAAGTACTACTAATATAACTATTTTACTTTGATCGATTTAATGAAATTAGTCAACCTAAATTACCATTGTTAAGACTTAGAAGTACAAAAAATAGTAATGTAAAGTAAAGACCATTCTATGATTCAGTGGCGAATCCAGAATTTTATCAAAGATGTTCGAGAATATATATATTTTTTATAAATGAGTTGAATTATATTTGTTTAACTTACCATATCATGAGCGATCTATATATTTGTTACTATCAAATATAAACAATCGAGTTTTTTCTCTCGGTGCATTAATTTTATATGATAAAGAATATATGAATTATTGTGTATAAGGTGAAATAGTAATTGAATAAATATGTCTAGCTTTATAGGAAACACAAATTACACCATCAAATAATTCTTTTTTTCTATTAAAAAAGAAGAAGATAAAACAAATGTATTGATTTTAGCTTTGAATTTAAAGTTATAAACATATATAAGCACAATTTTTTAATGTAAAATGTTTGCCAATTTGTTTTTACACCCATGTTAGATAAAAAAAAATACATAAAATGTATAATATAACAAATTTCAAAATTAAAACAATTTATTCATAAATGTTACTCTATATTTTTATAATTGTAATATTAAAATTAAGAAAACATTTTAAGAATATCAAGTAAATTAAAATTAATAAATGTATTTTTTATGCAAGAATATATTATCAAAATTGTAATATTAAAAGTTAAAAAATTTCAAAAACATTTAAGGATTTTAGATAAATTGAATTAATGTGTGTGTACAAGTGTAAGTAAGACTTATCTCAAAACAAAATATAATGAAGTTACATAGAATCGAACACAAACAATAAGGAATAAATGAAAACCCTTAACCAATGCAGCAGAGGAAGAGCTTACGCCAAGGTTGTTCAACATTATATATGCATTGTTCAAACACAGATGTAATTTTCCGGTGAATGGTGTTCACCTAACTAACTTTGGATGGCTATAGCTCTGCCATTGCTAAGATATCAAATTAGGGGGAGAGAAGATGTCATAAAATACATTTATAATGATTAGTATACTCATAATACTCTCTTGAATGTAGAGATGTCAATATGATTTGATTTTATTTGGCTAACTTAAACAGATTTTGAAATTTGAAGGTCATATCGAATTGATTCGGTCCGAATCACAAGTATGTGAGTTGTAGGTTGTGCCCCACTTTTTAAAGAAAATATTTTTTATAATATTTTAAATTAAATTATAATTTAAAAATATTATCACAAATATCGACAAGACAACATTACATATGTTAGTATTACTTGTTAATCAAATTCACAAATAAAATTATCTTTATAATATTTGTTAAGTTGGTTTCAAGTAAAAGTATAAATAGCTAAATAGAAATATTAATTTAATTTTATAAACATTTTATTTAAATTGTAAATAGATTTTGAGTTTGGACTCTTATTATTGTTAATACTCTATTTTTTCATATAATTATTTTATTTGGCCCACAAACCGCCCTACCCTTATTATTGTGTCACATCCGGGAATAACTCCTAGACGTAACCGACATCGTCGTCCTCTTTGAAGACTAAGACTAGCCTCTTAGCTTACATCATTACATTCATAGGTCAAATTTAGCAAAAAATTTAAAACTTTTCATTACATCTACTCGGAGGTTTACATAGACCTCTACATACACATAGTATATATATATCGAGTATACATAGACCCTCATATAGGAAGATTACATAGTCTTCTACTCCTATTGCACATAAGTATAATAAGAGTATATCAAATTGGGACTAGTCCATACATTAATGAAACAAGACAACATATAGGTTATACAACGTTTAATATCCAAATGAAAAGGAAAGAAACAAAAGAGTCTTAATACTAAAAATAACATCATGGCTTGATAGTGGCATCGCCCTCGGAAAGTGAGGACCTACCCTACTTGGATGATCAAGAAATCCAAGTATTCTTCAATATCGTCTCCAAAAGCCCTACAACGACCGAAACCTAAAATATTGGGGAAAAGGAAGTAATGGGGTTAATACACCACTTGTACTAAGTATGAGACCATATGCACACATATCACGAAAACATGCTAAAAGGAACATTTCATTAAGTATGCAATATTCTTGAAAACCTTTATGCACATTCAACAAGACTATACCAAATCACTTAGGCATATTCATTAAGTCATAGGCATGTACATCACAAGACCAACAACATCAAACTAGTCAAGTTAACATGCATGTCATGTAATTGAATACATAGTCAAGTAACTTCATTAGCAAGTCATAAATAACCACAAGCATGAAGAAGAGTACATTTCATCATAACCAAAATAAGACAATTACCCATGAACTCCTATCAAGTCAACAAGTGCAATGACCAATCAAAACTCCATAACCTTACTCAGTCAAGTAACTCAACAAGAATCATGACTAACATCCCACTTCACATATCATAACATTTAAGAGTACATAGCATCATACTTTAACAATATAGACCAACACATATTCATAAGTGACACCAATCAACATATAGTATCAACAATGTGCAACTTTACCATATATGTATCATGTAGCATTATGCATAATCATATATAAGATTATCCTCCTAAGACTCCCTTCAAGGCTAATTAGTGCAATGTTTAGGTAGAGTCTCATACCCTACCTAGACTAAGTTAAATCCCTTAGGTCATCTTAGTTAGATCCTTTAGTTCATTTTACCTTTTGGGAACATCTTGCCCTAACCGACATAGACCACATGAGCTAATGTGAAATCTTTCCAATGTCATGGAACCCTACACCGAAAGAAGGTGAACTACTTGCCAAGGTAGCACCAAACATGAACATAGCAACTACATGGATCCACTATTAGTATTTTTATGGGAGAGACATAGTTCAAGAACTAGGAGATATAGTTGGGACCCTCTTTACGAAAAAAGCAACCTCTCAATTTGATATTGATCAATGTGAAGCATACTATCAAGCTGCCGGTGAAAAAAAGAAGAAAATGATATACGGTCTTGGACTTGAAGCAAAAACTTACCACTGGCAGAATTGTTGTGCCTCATCATCTTTGCGCCTCATCAACTATAACACCTTAAGTTTCTCATCATCTGTAGCACCTTCAGTGCCTCATCATCTTTGTGCTATCGACAGATTTTGAACCCTCTAAATATTATTTTATATGAAATATTTGTTATTTTAGAAGTATTTAGTAGTATTTTAGCAACAAATTTGGTGACGATTTGGTCGTTTCTATAAAAAAATATTGGCGACAGATTAGCGAAGAAATATTTTAGTGAAAAATATGTTGACTTAAATAGCAGAATGTTTTGTGACGGATCAATGACAAAAATTATGTCGCAAATTTATTTGAAATGATGAAATCAACTATAAAATTAGCAACGATTATTTTGTGACGAAAATTACGTCAAGAATTTATTTGAAATGACGAAATTAATTATGAAATCAGCAATGAACTATATAATTATAACGACGGATCAGTTCGTCGCAAACAAGTAATGACAGATATCATTCGTCTCTAATACGTCGCTAAAGTTGCAACAGAACTCATATTTCTTCGCTACGAGATTACTAACGAGTGAAATAGAAACAATTAATACCCATCGCAAATCCAGTTTAGCAACAGAAAATCATAAATTAGCGACGAAATTCGTCCGTCGCTAAACACTGTTTTTTTGTAGTGATTCATATCAAGATCATAACCTAGGGTTAAGGGGTAAAAATCATCTACAAACTAGACCAATCCATCAAGATATATTATAATTAAGTTAGAATACATGTTAGTCTATTCATAATATCCTAAATAAAACATAAACAAATCAATTCATAACATAATTTTCGAGATTGGATGAAACCCACTTGAAAATCCAACCTTTGAAATCAATTTGATGGAACCCTTTGAGGGAAGAGGTCTCAAATGTGAAATTAGATCCCATACCTTGTTATTTGATGAAGATTGATGAAGAAATTTGACTCTTTGTATCCCTTAAACCCTCCCCTAGCTTGGTCTTTAATGGAGTTCTTCACTAGAGAGATAAACAAGAGAGGAAGAAGAGAGTTTGGGTTTGTGAGTTATGAGAGTTTGATTAGCCTTAATTAGGTTAGGACTCTATATAGAAGGTTAATTCACTTAATTAGAATTTCCCTAACCCCTAATTAACTTCCTAACTACGTCAACTAATTAAAATAAAAGTCAAAACGTGCAGCAAAACACAGACCCAATCTACGAGACCACGTACGATCAACGGATCGTTGGTCCATCGATGGTCATTCCCCCATTCCGTGCTGCACATCCGTAGGTAAGTTCAGAGACTATGCAAAATGACCCTTCCAAGATTTAGTATAAGTGTTTATCGACGCCCCGTCGATTCATCAACGACCCGTCTATGGCATCTGTTGGTGGCACTGTCTCTTGACATCTTTTGCCAACTTTTGCAAGGGTCCTCCTCAAGGGCCCTTGGTTGGTCCTTGGGGAGTCGCACCCGGACGTTTTGACCATGAATCAATTTAAATACATGTTACACACCCTTGCATCAATTTTTATCATTTTCTGACTCTTAAAAGCTAGTCAAATAGGCTAAGGCACGCTAGTACCTTCTTGAACTAGTTTTCGGACGTCGTGAACGTTCTTGGACATTTTGATTTCTAGACTTCCTAAATGATATATATATTCATTAAAATGAACCTTAAAACAATGTCTAAACCTTATGACACTCATGTTAGGCTCTAGAACACGTCTTGAATTTTCAAAGTGTTACATATTCAAACCTCACAAATCAATAAGTTTATTTGGGTCGGGCTAAATATCATTTTCTTAAATGAGTTTCAAAAAGTTTGGTGCATCCCTACTAAATCATGGGTTAAGTCAGGTCAACCCAGCGTGTCTTAGTCTATATTGACCACTCTACTTGGATATATTATTTAGATAAAGCATCTAAATTTTGTGGGAAAAATGGAATTTATTTTATAAAATATGAATATTTTAACGTTTAATAAGATCCCTAACCACATTTATAATATATATTAAAAATCTCAATATTTGGGTTTGTACGATTACTTAATTTGTTTAATTTAAAAAAAATACAATTATTCAATGATATAATAAAAAATCAGGAGAGAGAATTTTTTTCTGAAAATAAACACATCACTTGAACTTCTCATCAATTATAATTTCAAAGAGAAAACTACAGTGACTCCACCTCTTATTGTTTCTCAAACTTTCAATATCAAATTTTATCTCCGTTTCTCAAATCTCATTTGAATTTTTTCCATTGTGGACAAATATATTGAAAGAATCGAACAGGATTTCTTTTACAAATAACTTTATAACAGAAATTCCGACTTGAACTTTGAGATAATTCGTGCAATATAAAATCGATCAGGTATTTGTTTATTGGTGAATTACTAATTTGTTTGGAAGTTTTTGACATGATTTTTTTAAAAAAAAATTCCTAGGTAATTATAAATTGTTTTGGATGATGAGTCGGAGTTTTACCAATACACAAGTAAATACCGATTCAAATTTGAATTTGGTGAATTTTTTTTTTTGTAAAATGAACATAGCAAACAGACAAATAAAGGGCTGAATTGAACAGGTCCCATGGGCTAAATCCGTTTTGACGACACTAGAAACTAGAGAAAAATTCTAACTATATTCTTATTCATCTAGATATGTACAGGTAAAATGTGTTATATATACACTAAAAAGACGATTAGCTACCGGTATTGCATGATGATTATGTAGCTACTTGTATATAACTAGCTAGATTAATGGTCTCCCTTTAGCTAGCATTCAACTAATTTCAACGCTATTAATTAATTAACTGCTTCTTGTTGAACCATGATCAGCTGATTTGACCTCATGGCTCGAGTTGAAATAATTAACTGCCTCTTTGAATTAACACACACACATATTATATAATCTCCTGTTGACAATAATAAAAATAAAGATTTAGCTAACATAATCTCCCTCACTCCACCTCATCCCCTCCCACGCAGGATCCATTCTACGTCAATAGTATTTGTCTGAGATTATATACTTATTTTTTTAAGTATTTTTAGAATACGTGCACTTATCAAACACCATCATAAAATAAATAACAAAATAACTTATTTTTTAGGAGAGACGATTTTCAAAAAATATTTTTCATTCATATGTGTCAAACACACCCTATTTATATATTAAGAAAGAAAGAAAATGAAATATGTAGAAAAATAAAGCCTATAAGGAAAAAAGAGAGGTTGATTTTCATATATGTTATATGAGTATCTGAATCAGCCTAGCTTACATTTACATTGAATATACATAACGTACCATAAATCACAGTTCTTCGTGGAAAATTTCTTCATTCCTACTGTTATCATAAACAGTATTATAGAAAATACTTTCATGGTTCAATATCTCATCCAATGTCAATTTACTATCTTTGTCATCATCAGCCTACACACAAAAAAGTAATGCAAATATTAGTTATTATCGACTCAAAAGTCAAACCCCCTAACCTCGTCACTCAAAAATATAGGAAAAATGTACAAGTACCCCCTCAATCTATGTCGAAAAACTTAAAGACACACTTATGTTATACTAAGGTCCTATTACCACCTGAACTTATTTTATAAGTAATTGTCTACCTCTTTTCGGCCTATGTGGCACTAGTTTGAAAAAAAAAATCAACTAGCGTTGGACCCACAAAATAATGCCATGTAGGTCAAAAAGGGGTAGAAAATTATTAATAAAATAAGTTCAGGGGATAATAGGACCTTAGTATAGTATAAGTGTGTCTCTATTTCGATCATAGGTTGAGGAGATACTTGTGCATTATCCCCAAAAATATATAATATATTGTTTCACAAATCGATCGAACTTACCTCTCGAATCAAATAAGTTGTGTACACTTTAGCATAGGAAAGTTCTCCGGGGGATAAATATTGTAGAATTGGTTTCAATTCTTCCACTGTCAAAAATCTAACATACAAAAAATAATAATTAGTTAAACATAATTCACTTAATTATAGTATCTAAGAAATAAAATTAACAATTGACATGAAGTAAGAATAATTACCCGTCACCATCATAGTCAAGATTGGCAAATGCTTGAAATGGTGTAGGAATATTGGTTCCTTGAGATTCATATTCAAGGTAAGTCTTGTAAATATTGTAAGCCCCATTATTAAATTCCAATCGATTTAGCATATTATCCTTGTTTACGTCCATTTGCCTATTAACAAAAATTAATTAAAATACCAATAATATATTTCTGTTGTAAATAAAATTAGTGTACTTCTTATGCCGATAAAAGACATTGCAATCTATATGGAAAATACACTAAAAATAAAGAAATAAAAGTTTCCTATTTTATCTCTCTACTATATTCTTCTCTTCTTAATTGTTATTAGTTTAATTTTAGTACTTGGTCTTTATTTTATAGCACGTTCTCAGCACGAGACTCTATCATCTCAAAGTTTGAAGACTAATTTGAATGCTAAGTACTATTATTTTTCTTATTATTATTATGTCAATCTTACTAAACTTGAGTTCGTTGCCTTCATAATTCGGGCAAGAACTACCTTTCATGGGTACTGGATGCTAAAATTCATTTGGATGCTATGAGTCTTGGAGACACCATTAAAATTGAGAATAAAGCATCAAAACAAGACTGTGCTAAAGCAATGATATTCTTACGTCATCATATTGTCGAAAATATTAAAATTGAATATCTCGCATTCAAGGATCCACTCATTTTGTGGAATAATCTAAAAGTAAAATATGACCATTTAAAGATGGATTCATCCAAAGTCATGATATGATTGGATGCATTTAAGGCTACAAGACTTTAAGTCTATTCAGGAGTATAATTCTGTCATGTTCAGAATTACTTCTCAATTAAAACTATGTAGAGATACAGTTAGTGATGTTGATATGATGAAAAAAAACGTTCTCCATATTTCATGCCTCGAATGTGCTTTTATAACAGCAATATCAAGAAAAGGGTTTCAAAAAGTATTTTTAACTGATTTCTCATCTTCTCGTGGCTGAACAAAATAATAATTTGTTAATGAAAAATCACGAGAATCGTCCCACTGGATCTCCACCATTTCCTGAAGTGAATGAGGTGTACGCCCACCACGCTAGGCGTGGTCGTAATTACGACTAAGAGTGAAATTCTTTTCCCGGTGTTAATCATTCACCAAAGAAAAGTAATTATCAAAGGGGAAAAGAAAAAGATGAGAAACGTGAAATAATTAAAATAAATTATTTTTGATGTGGTGGAAGAGGTCATTATGCACGTGATTGTGTACTCTTAAACACTTGGTTTAGCTTTATCAAGCATCACTAAAAAAGAAGGATAAAAATCCAGAAGCTAATTTTATGACTGATCATGTTGACATCACACACTTGGATGTGAAAAATTTCTTCACACACCCTAAAGGAAAAATAGATCACTTAATTGGTGACGGTTCTACGGATATGGAAGAATAACCATGATTGATATTTGCTAATGTTATTGATATTTATTGTTTTGTATTGATTATAATGTGAAAATTAAATAATTTAAAGTGCTTAAATTTATCCATGCATATTCATTAAGTCCCTTTTTTTAAAAACACCAATGAAAAGTGAGTTGGAATGTCATAATTTGAAAAAGAATTGAGAAATATTAAAGTTATACTTTCATGTTAACTTTTACTGACTATAAAGGAAAATATATATATTATATTTAATGTAAAAGTAATAGCACTACCTAAATTAGTAAGTGGAAATTTTTTTTTTTTTTTGCCACTCAAATGTCCTTTCAAGAGATTAAAGTTGTACTAATGCTTATTTTATACATGCTAAATAGATCAAATTTAGTGTTAAAAGGTTTGAATGATAAAAATCTTGTTCATTATTAGTATATGATTATTATAATTATTCAAATGTCATTTTAACACTTGCATTATTTTTTAAATTATTTAATAGAAGATAATTAATCATTTAATATAAATTTATTTTATTACTTTTGAAGCTATGGATAATTCTCCAAGCAAATTATCAAATTATGAAGACATTTGCTTGATTAATTCTGGTACAACATACACGATATTAAAAAATGAGAAATATTTTTCTCATTTGAGTATGGACAATATGAATGTTACTATGATATTCGGTAGTACTAGTTTGATTAAGGACTCTGAAAGAGCCATTATAATTTGTCCAAGGGAACCAAAGTCATAATAAATAATGTCATGTTTTCTCCTTAATCTGGGAGAAACTTATATAGTTCAAAGATATTCGTGAAAATGATTATTATATCAATAAATTGATGAAATGAACCTTGAATATCTTAGCATAACCAAAAATATCTCCAGGCAGACATATGTTGTAGAAAAATTTACGGTCTTATCTTCTAGATTGTATTGGACAAAAATTAGTGAAATTGCGGCACATCCTATAGTAAAATCAGGGGTTTACTGATTCCAATACCTTCGTACTTTGGCATGATCGTATGAGACATCCTTGGTCTATAATGATGAGACGAATTATAAAAAATTCAAATGGGCATTCATTAAAGAATTTGAAAATTCATTTAAATGGTGAATTTTTCTGTGATGCATATTATCAAGGCAAGTTAATTGAGATACCATTACAAATAAAGGTTAAAATTGAGTCTCATGCGTTATTGAAACGTATATATGGGGACATTTGTGGGCCAATTCACCCACCGAGTGGGCCATTTAGATATTTTATGATCCTGAGATGTTTCTTCTAAATGGTCTCATGTATGCCTATTGTCATCTTTCAATTTGACATTTACAAAATTATTGACACAAATAATACGATTAGGGGCACAATTTTCTGATAATCAGATTAAGTCTATTCGCCTTGATAACTATGTAGAGTTTTCATCTCAAATATTCAATGATTATTGTCTGTCGATTGGAATAAGAGTTGAATATCTTGTAACTTATGTTCACACTCAAAATGGTCTAATTGAGTCATTAATTAAACGACTGCAATTGATTGCAGACCATTACTTATTAAAACTAAGTTACCCACTTTTGTGTGGTGTCATGCATTTTTGCATAGTGCAGTACTTATTCAGGAAGACAAATTATCATAAGTTTTCTCATGTCAAATGATTTTGGGTTAACAATCCAATATATCTCATCTGAGAATTTTTGGATGCGCTGTGTATGTGCTGATAGCACCACCACAACGTACTAAGATGGGTCCACAAAGAAGGTTAGGAATATATATTGGGTTTGAATCGCTCTCTATTATTCTCTATCTTGAACCATTAACTGGAAATATGTTCACAGCCCGATTTGCAAATTGTCGGTTTGATGAGACACTTTTCGCAAAATTAAAGGGAGAAAGTAATGAAATTAAAGGAGAGATTTTGTGAAAAAATTCATCATTATCTCATCTTGATCCTCGTACTTTCATTTGTGAGCAAGAAATACAAAATATCATTTATTTGTAGAAAATTGCAAATCAAATGCAGAAGCATTTACATAATTGAAAAGGATTACTAAATCACATATTCCTGCAAAGAATGTCCCAATTCAAATTGATGTCCCCCTAGAACCATCTACTAATGTCATAGATAATGAGTCAAAAGCACGTCTGAAACATGGTAGATCATTTGGATCAAAAGATCAAAATCCTAGAAAAAAAATGAAAAGATCAAAATGACATTGTGAAAAAACCTCACATAGAAAGTCCAGATGTGAGTAATTCTGGTATGCTTGAAGGGATCAATGAACTTGAGACTCAAGAAAATAATGAACCATCCATAAAATCAAGTGATGATGAAACAAATATGAGTCGCTCAGAAATATCGGTGGATTTTGTTTTTGCATACAATGTTGCATAAAAAATTATGCAAAATTGTGAGGATCTTGAACCTTAATCTGTTGAAGAATGTCGACAAAGAAATGATTGGCCAAAATGGCAAGAATCAATTCAATCAGAATTGAATTCACTTGTCAAGCGCGAAGTTTTTGGGCTTATAGTACAAACATCTAAAGGTGTTAAACTTATTGACTATAAATGAGTTTTTATGCGGAAAAGGAATGAGAAAAATGAAATGCAAAAGTACAAGCACATCTTGTTGCAAAAGGATTTTCTTAATGGCTCGACGTCGATTATGAAGAGATATATTCACCCATTATGAATGCACTAATATTGTATTATCTTATTAGTTTGACGATCCATGATAAACTTGATATGCATTTGATGGATATTGTTAGAGCTTACCTTTATGGATCACTCGATAATGAGATGTACATGAAAATTTCTGAAGGATTCAGATACCCAAATCATATAGTTTGAAGCCTCGGGAAATATACTCAATTAGATTGCAAAGATCATTCTATGGTTTGAAACAGTCTGGACGCATGTGGTATAACCGTCTTAGTGAGTATTTATCTAAGAAAGGTTATACAAATTATGCGATTTGCCATGTGCATTTATAAAAAAAACAATAGCAGATTTTGTTGTACTTGCTATTTATCTCGATGACATAAATCTTATTGGAACTTCACAGGGCAATTTTTTTTTAAAGAATGAATTTCAAACGAAAGATTTCATAAAGAAAAAAATTATGTCTTAGTTTGTAAATAGAGCATTTGACAACGACATGTTTGTTTCATCAATCTATAGAAAAGGTGTTAGAAATAATTTTATATGGATGAAGTACATCCATTAAGTACTCCAATTGTTGTTCGATCACTCGATGTGAATAAAAATCCATTTCGATCTTATGAAAAGGATGAGAATATTCTTGGTACTGAAGTATCATATCTTAGTGCTGCACTAATGTATCTTACTAACACCACAAGGCCTGATATAACATTTTCGATTAATTTGTAGCAAGATATAGTTCTGCTCCTTCTAGAAGACATTGAAATGGGATCAAACACATATTGTGGCTTCTAAAAGTGATTATCGATATGAATTTTCTATTCTAACAATTGTAGTCTAGATCTTGTTGGCTATGCTGATACTAGATATTTGTCTGACCCACATAAAGTTAGATCTCAAACAGATCATGTATTCACATGTGGGGGTACTGTCATATCTTGGAGATCTACGAAACATTCCATCGTGGACACTTCATCAAATCATGTGATAATAGTTATTCATGAGGCAAGTCGAGAATGTGTGTGGTTAAGGTCCATTATACACCTTATTCGAGAAAAATGTGGTTTAAAATGTGACAAAATACCCACAATTTTATATGAAGATCATGCAACATGCATAGCACAACTTAGGGGAGGATTCATAAAAGGAGATAGAACGAAACACATTTCACCAAAGTTTTTCTACACATATGAGCTCTAGAAGAATGGTGATATCTTCGTTCGAGTGATAATGTGGTTGATTTATTCACTAAGTCTTTGTTTACCGCAAATTTCGAGAAGATAGTAAGATTGGAATGAGAAAACTTGGCCAACTAAATCGTGATTTTTATCGGGGGAGTAAAATACGTGTTTGTACTCTTTTTTTCTTAATCAAGGTTTTATCCCACTGGATTTTTAGATAAGGTTTTTAATGAGGCAGCAAATAATGTGTATTAGGAACAACTATTTATATTTGTTACTTTACTAAAGTATTTTATTTTACATGGACATCTAAGAGGGAGTGTTGTAAACAAAACTAGTGAATGTTCATTTTACCCCTCTTATGCTTATAAAAGACATTGTAACCTATATGAAAAAATACACCAAAAATAAGGAAGATAATGTTTCCTATTTTATCTCTCTACTATATTCTTCTCTTCTTAATCGTTATTAATTTAATTTTAGTACTTAATCTTTATTTTATAACAATTTCAAATATAAATGATATATATATATATATATATATATATATATATATATATATAATAATAATAA